CAGCCAATCCACTCATCTCAGCCTCCCAAGGCACGGGACTACAGGCTGAGCCACCGAGCCTGACCACATGTTACTTTAATAATGGAGCATGCAGGCCGTGTGCAGTGGCTCACATCTATAATCCCAGCACTTTGAGAGGCTGAGGTGAGAGGATTGCCTGAGCCCACAGGTTTGAGACCAGCCTGGGCAACTTGACGAGACCTCGTCTCTACAGTAAATAAAAAAATTAGCTGGGTGCAGTGGCAAACGCTTGTAGTTCCAGCTACTTGGAAGGCTGAGATGGAAGGATCACCTGAGTCCAGCAGGTTGAGGCTGCAATGGCCGTGAGCATGCCACTGCATACTGGCCTGGGTGACAGAGTGAGACTCAGACTCAAAAAACAAACCAAAACCAAGTCGGGCCCGGTGGCTCAGCCTGTAATTCCAGCACTTTGGGAGGCCGAGGCGAGTGGATTGCCTGAGCCCACGGGTTCGAGACCAGCCTGGACAACTTGGCGAGACCTCGTCTATACAATAAATTAAAAAATTAGCTGTATATGGTGGCACGTGCTTGTAGTTCGGCTACTTGGAAGGGTGAGGCGGATGGATCGCCAGAGCCCAGCGGGTCGATACTGGGGTGTCCATGAGTGCGCCACTGCACTCTAACCTAAGCGACAGAGTGAGACTGCAACTTAGAAAACAACCAAAAAAAACAAATCACGTTAATAAAATGAATGCCAGTCCTGGACTACTGTCTTAGCACATGTTTTTACAGATTAAGGAAAGACAAAAGATAAATGGTTTAGCAGTTCTTAATTTGGGTCACATACACCAAAACTGCCCAGCTAAATAGTGGATAACACTTTCCTCCTTGCTTTCCTTTTCTTTCGGTCCCTAGGCATTGACGGTCCGGCTGCCTTCCTGAAGCCAGATGCTCAAGATGTGGAAACCAAACCTCACGTCTTCTCGGTAGGCTCTTCTGCCACAGAAGAAGATGCGGAAGGCAGTGTTGCTGGGGAAAGTGCTTTGGACTCTGTTCCCAAGCCAGACCTTCAGGAGATTCTCCAGAAGCGTGGTGAGGATCGTCCTGACTTCGAGATAGTATATCTTCTTCTTTTTTTTTTTTTTTGAGTAGGAGTCTCGCTGTATCACCCAGGCTGGAGTGCAGTGGCACGGTCACAGCCACCGCAGCCTCGACCTACTGGACTCAGGCGATCCTTCCGCCTCAGCCTTCCAAGTAGCTGGAACCCTAGGCACACATCACATGCCCAGTTAATTTTTTGACTTATTGTAGAGATGAGGTCTCGCCAAGTTGCCCAGGCTGGTCCCCAACTCCTGGACTCAGGCAGTCCTCTCACCTTGGTCTCCCTAAGTGCTGCAATCACAGGCGTGAGCCACCGCGCCTGGCCAATGTATCTTCTTAATCATCTACAGTCTTTTCCTTTGCTTTCTTTCCTTTAACAATCTAGATGACTCAAAATTACTCATGGCTTAGGGCCTTACAGAGGGAACAGTATTAAGCATCTCTGACATCTGAGTGTTGGTCATTGTCAACAATAATGTATTTCTACTATTGCCTAAGAAAAATAAGACAAAGTTCCCACCTCTTCCTTTGACAAAGTTGCCACTCAGTCCCTCTGCCTCCATGTCGTAGTTCATGATGACCTCCTGCCTTCTGCCAGGTCCAGTTATCATTTCCATCCATATTCCTGTGCATTTCAGAGGCCCCTTGTAGTCCTTTTTCCTCCTTAGAAAACTAATTTTTGGCATGACTCAGTGGCTCAGCCTGTCATCTCAGCACTTTGGGAGGCCGAGGCGAATGGATTGCCCGAGTCCGCAGGTTTGAGACCAGCCTGGGCAACTTGGCAAGACCTCGTCTCTACAATAAAATTAAAAATAGCTGGGTGTGGTAGTGTGCATCTGTAGTTCCAGCTACTTGGAGGGCTGAGGCAGAAGGATCGCCGGAGCCCAGCAGGTCGACACTGGGGTAGCTGTGAGCATGCTTGCCACTGCACGCCAGCCTGGGCAAAGGAGTGAGATTCCAACTCAAAAAAAAAGAAAAAGAAAAAGAATTATCTAGTGAGAAGGGATCAAACATCCCTTTTTCATGTGAGAAAACTGGAGCCCAATAATGAATAAATATCAACTGGGTGCCTGCTTTATGCTAGGCAGACATTGCTAGGTCCTGGGATATGTGATTCAGGAGAGTCGGCCACAGAGTGGTAGAACAGATGGACCTTCAAACAGATGCATGTCACTCATTTAGAAAATATGTTTTGAGTACGTACTGTGTTTCAGGCGTTACTCCAGGCACTTAGGATACAGTGGTAAATATGGCTTTTGCCCTCACAGGGTGCTTATTTTTGTTTGTTTCTGAGACAAGGTCTTGCTCTGTTACCCGGGGTGGAGTGCAGTGGCACGATCGTTGCTCACTGCAGCCTGGAACTCCTAGGCTCAAGCCTCCTGCCTAGCTGGGGCTACAGGCATGTGGCACCACACTTTGCTGTTTTGGTGCATTTATTCTAACTGAGGTATCATACCCCTAGATAGGCTGGAGATGGAAAATCAGGGTGCCGAGGGGGAACCAGAGGGGCCTTGGCCTCAGAGATTTGTTAGGCTTCCCGGAGAAAGCGGCACTTAAGGGAGGGCCTGACACAGGCAAAGGTGCTGGCCAGCTAAGAAAGAATGCGGATATATCAGGCAAGGTGGCTCAAGTCTGTAATCCCAGCACTTTGGGAGGCTAAGGCGAGAGGATCCCCTGCCTGAGCCCAGGAGTTCGAGACCCGCCTGGGCAGCTTGGTGAGACCACGTCTCTACAATAAATCTAAAAATTAGCTGGGTGTAGTGGCGCACGCCTGTCGTTCCAGCTACTTGGGAGGCTGAGGCGGAAGGATCACCTGAGTCCAGCAGGTTGAGGCTGCGGTGGCTGTGAGCGTGCCAGTGCACTCCAGCCTGGGCAACAGAGTGAGACTCTGACTCAAAAAAAAAAAGCAGCCAGGGGAGGTGGTAGGAGGCTGAGCCAGGAAGCACATGCACGGCCTGTGTGCTGTTGGCCGGGGAGCCTGGTATTGGAACGTGTGTTGTGCGTCAGCACTGGATGTGCGTGATCCATCTGATTTCATATGCGTAACAGTCCTTGGAGGGGCTTGTATGTATTTGTTTCTCCATTGTTTTATATGAGAAGATTAGTTCTTAGAGAGGCTAATGATCTGTCATGGATTGTACTGCTCATATGATGGTAAGCGTGGGCAGAAGCAGCAGCCTTGTGCAAAGGCTGGATGTGGGAACGCGGGGTGTTTGTGCAAACAGTGCGGAGTCACCCAGGCAGGATGGGGAGGTGGGTTAGAGCCCCATGCTGGGGCCAGCCTGCTTGGGTTTGACTCTCAACTCTGCCGCTTCTGGATGGAGGGCAGACGACGTACTTTTCTGCCTCAGTTTCCCTGTCTGTAACATGAAAGTGACCATGGTACTTGTATTATTTTACTACCACTAGTTTTACAACAAAAGAAAGGGAAAGATGTGGTTGGACAGATAGTATGCTTCAGAGCAAAGAGAATTTTCTGTTTATCCAGAGCTGAATTACTTACCGCGGTCGTCTGGCTGCACAGGGACTTGCTGGGTTTCTGATTCCCAGTCTGGTTCTTTCTCCCTGACAGTGAATACCAGCTGACTCCTCTTGTGTTGCCCTCTGAAGTAGCTGCTGCGTTCTCTCTCAGGTTGGCCTTTCAGTGCCAGAGGAGTGAACGCCTTTTCGCGTCTCAGCAAGTTGCATCTTGACTGTAAAACCCATTAAGTGCTCTCTGAAGTTCTAAGAAGTGTCAGTTTGGTAGATTATACCCCTTAAGTGGATTCAATTTACTTGTCCTAAAAGTTTCAGAGAGATCTTTGATCTCTATTTTCCTTTCTTTTTTGAATCAGAGTCTCACTCTGTTGTCCCGGCTGGATGCAGTGGCATGCTCGCGACTACCACAGTTTTGACCTGCTGGGTTCAGAATATCCTTCCACCTTAACCTTCCAAGTAACTAGAACCAAAAGCATGCGCCATCACGCCTGGCTAACTTTTGGAGTTATTGCAGAGACAAGATCTCACCACTTTGCCCAGTCTGGTCTCTAACCCCTAGGTTCCAACAGTTCTCTCGCCTCCACCTCCCAAAGTGCTGAGATGACAGGCGTGAGCTACTGCACACAGGAGATATCTATTTTAAGACATATATTCAGCCGGGCTCAGTGGATCAGCCTGTAATCCCACGCCTTGGGAAGCTGAGGTGAGTGGATTGCCTGAGCCCACGGGTTCGAGACCCGCCTGGGAACTTGGCGAGACCTCATCTCTACAATAAATCAAAAATCAATCCGGCATGGTAGCGCACGCCTGTAATTCCAGCTACTCAAAAGGCTGAGGCGGAAGGATCGCTGGAGCCTGACAGGTCGAGGCTGCGGTGGCCAGGAATGGCCACTGCACTCCAGTCTGGGCAACAGAGTGAAACTCCAACTTAAAAAATAAATAAATAAATAAATAAATAAAAAACAAAGTGCTGGGATTACAGGCTGAGCCACCGAGCCTGGTGAGATATAAATTACATACCATAAAACTCACCCATTTCAAAGTACTGAACAAGGCTGGTCATGGTGGCATACACCCGTAATTCAGCACTTTGTTTTTTATTTATTTTTAATTTTTTAAATGAAGATGTGGGGTACATTTCAGGGTTAGGTATATAAACATTGATCATGCAGGTACCCTTGTTGATGAGGTATGAATTCTAGCATTTTCAGGGGCCAAGGTGGAAGGATTGCTTGAGCACAGGAGTTTGAGACCTGCTTGGGCAACATAGGGAAACCTTGCCTCTACAAAAAAAATTTCTAAAAATACCTGGGCATGATGACGTACACCTATAGTCCCAGGTACTCAGGAGGCTGAGACAGAAGGATTGCCAGAGCCCAGAAGGAAAAGGTTGGTATGAGCTGTGCATGTGCCACTGCACTCCAACCTGGGCGACAGAATAAGACTCTAAAAAAAAAATGTGGGTGTGGTGGCTCATGCCTGTAATCCCAACACTTTGGGAAGCTGAGACAGGAGAATTGATTGGCATAGGAGTTCGAGACCAACCTAGGCAACATAATGAAACCTCATCTACAAAAATAAAAATAAAAAATTAGCCAGGTGTGGTGGCACACACCTGTAGTCCCAGCTACTTGGAAGGCTGAGGCGGAAGGATCACCTGAGCCCAGGAGGTTGAGCTGCAGTGAGCCGTGATCATGCCACTGCACTCCAGCCTAGGTAACAGAGTGAGACTCTAACTCAAAAAATAAAAAAAAAGTGAACATTTCATTGGTTTCAGTATATGCACAGAGTTCTGCACCCTGTTATCATGGTCAATTTTACACCTCATCACCCTTTAACAAAACCTTGTACCTGTGAGAAGTCATTTCTCTTTTCCCTCCGGTCCCGTCTACTTTCTGTCTCTGTGGATTTGCCTATTCTGGATATTTTACATAAACAGAATCATGCAATATTTGTCCTTCTGTGTCTGACTTGTTTTACTTAGCATGTTTTCAGGGTTCATTCACGCAGCTTGTATCAGTACTTTGTACAGCCTTCCATTGTATGGATAAGCACGTTTTCTTTGTCCATTGATGAACATTTGAGTTGTTTCCACTTTTGACTACTCGATGATGTTGCTATGATCATTCGTGTATGGGTTTTTTTTTTTTTTAATTTTTTTTTTAGTTGGAGTCTCACTCTGTCGCTCAGACTGGTGTGCAATGGCCGCTCCCGGCCACCGCAGCCTCGACCTGCTGGGCTCCGGCGATCCTTCCGCCTCGGCCTTCCGAGTAGCCGGAACTACAGGCGTGCGCTACCACGCCTGGCTGATTCGTGTATGGGTTTTTATGTGGGCATGTTTTCACTTGAGATTGATTTTTTTTTCAGACTGGCCTCTGTCTTGTTCTTGGGCATTCTTAAGTGATGCTAATACCAATTTATTTATGCACTGTGTAAAAATAAATCACTGTGTAGCCGGGCTCGGTGGCTCAACCTGTAATCCCGAGCCTTTGGGAGGCTGAGGTGAGTGGATTGCCTGAACCTGCGGGTTTGAGACCCGCCTGGGCAACTTGGCGAGACCTCATCTCTACAATAAACCAGAAAATCAGCCGGGCGTGGCAGCGCATGCCTGTAATTCCGGCTGCTCGGAAGGCTGAGGCGGAAGGATCGCCGGAGCCCGGCAGGTCGAGGCTGCGGTGGCCGGGAGCGGCCACTGCACTCCAGTCTGGGCGACAGAGTGAGACTCCGACTCAAAAAATAAATAAATAAATCATTGTTTTCTCTCCTCTGGGAGGATTGAATGTGGGCAGGAAGTGGTTCAGAGAAAAAAGCCGCACTGTAAGTCTACTTGTAAATCTACAATTTGAGGGTGATTTTAGCTATCATATGAGGAATAACATCACCCAGTAGACAGAAGAGAAGATGGAATGTAATTTACTGTGCCTCTTTCTCTTGGGGATTTTTCCTGAGTCTTACACTCCGCATGTAAATCTGAGTACCATAGTTCTTCCATAACACACATCAGTCACACCTTATCTTTTTTTTTTTTTAAGTTGGAGTCTCACTCAGTCGCCCAGACTGGAGTGCAGTGGCCGCTCC